GAGGTACAGAGAGGCCATCAAGATGGCTCAGTGGATGAAAGCCCTTGCCACCAAGTTTGACAACCTGATCCCAGAGACGCATATGGTGGAAGGCGAGAACCAACTCCTGAAAGTTGTCCTCTGACCACCACATACATTCCATGGCACAAACACACACAAAATAAATATTAAAAACAATGTTCAAAAAGAGATACAAAAAGACACAGTAGATACGGACAGATGTCAACGCAGACACACAGACAAGTCCAGAGGGGAGGAGAGACACCCTGATGGGTAGGACATGCCCACAGAAGGTGTTTAATAAGTGTTTATTAAATAAATAAAGTAGTGTCTGCTTCAAGAACACATGTACTTAAAACAGGTGAAGATGTGATAACGCAAGGGTACTGTTTGAGAAAGTGCCTGAATTAGTAACTGAGGCAGAGTGGGAGGGGTGGGCTGACAAAGCAGATGTCCACTCTGATGTCTTACTTCCTTTCAGGAAGGATGGAGACAGAGCTAAAGTGAAGCCTGACATGTTGGTGCAGGTGGAGGCAGGAGGATCAGAAGTTCAAATTCGTTTTGGCTACCTACGGAGTTGAAGCCAGTCTGGCCTATATGAGACCCTGTCTCAAACAAACAAACAAACAAAAAACTGAGACGGGAGAGATGGTTAGTGCTTAAGAGCACAGACTGCTCTTGCATAGGACCCAGGTTTGGTTCCCAGCACCCAAATCGGATGGCTAACAGCCACCTGTAACTTCAGCTCCAGGGTGCTCAAACAACTCTGACCTCTGAGGGAACCCGCACTCACATGCACATACCCACACACAGACGTATACATATACATAAGTTAAAATAAAATAATTTAAATAATAAAGTAGAGAGTAATTGAGGAAAACACCAGACTCCAACCTCTGGCGTTCATGGTCATGGACACATATGTGCATATGTATTTACATGCACACATACATACACCACATACACACACACACACACACACACACACACACCAAAAAAAAAAAAACCAAAAACCTGTGGGGACTAGAGAGCTGGCTCAGTAGTTAAGAGTACTGGCTGCTCCTGCAGAGGACCTGGGTTCAGTTCCCAGCACCCACATGGCAGCTACCAACCACTCATAACTCCAGTTCAGGGGTGTGCCCTCTTCTGACCTCCACAGCCACCACACACATGTAGTACACTTACATATAGACAGGCCTGTATGCATACATATAAAAAATAAATAAAATAAAAGCTTTCCTTTTCTTTCTCTTTTTTTGTTTTTTATTTTGTTTTGTTTGTTTTTTTGAGACAGGATCTCCCTGTAGCCCCAGCTGACCTGGAACTCACTGTATAGACCAGACTGGCCTCAATCTCATAGAGATTTGCCTACCTGCCTCTGCTTCCCAAGTGCTGGGATTAAAGGTGTGCACCACCACACCTGGCTAATAAAAACTCTACTTAAGATAGATTTCTTTTCATTTATTTATGTGTGTGTGTGCGTGTGTGTGTGTGTGTGTGTGTGTGTGTACACATGCACCCCAGGAGGACAGAAGAGGGGATTGGATCCCCTGGAGGTGTGGTTACAGGAAGTTGTGAGCCACCTAACTTGGGTGCTAGGAACCAAACTTGGGTCCTCTGCAAGAGCAGCAAGCACTCTTAAATGCTGAGCCATCTACCAGTCCCACAAAAACTTTGTAATTTCTTTTTCTCTCCCTTTGAAAAGGAGGTGAATTTCTGCAGTTTCTGACTAGCTTTTTACGTAAGAATGTCTGTTTTCAAGGACTGGGGAACGGTGTCTTTGAAATACAATCATCCAGGGAGATAGCGCCAGTCTTTGCAGAAGGTAAGATTCTAACCTTGATAAGCCAGCGGTGCAGGTACGGTTTGCCTAATCAGAGACATAACTTTATACAGTCTCAGAAATAACTCCATACACTGGACAGATCTCGCGTGCCCTGGGCAGCCTCGAATGGCTCCCTCCTGAACCTGCCCACAACTTGTCCATCCAGTGCTAAAGCCCCTCCCACCTTTTCTTTAAACAGAGCCGAGTTCCTTATTTATGGCAACAATTTTGAATGAGGTTTCCCTTTCCTGTTTTAAAATTTTTACTAAGCTGGGCGTGGTAGCAGAGATTGGGAGGCAGAGGCAGGTGGATCTTTGTGAGATGGAGGCCAGACTGGGATGGTCTACATAGGGAGTTCCAGACCAGCTGGGCTGCACAGTGAGACTCTGTCTCAAAAAATAAACAAAAAATCAAAACCAATTTTTATTACATTTATTTAGTGCGTGTTTTATTTATTTAGTTAGTTATTAGTTAGTATGTGTATGTGTGTGTAGGAGGAAAGCATACAAACGTGTGCTCATGTATGTGGAGGCCCAAGGTCCACCTCAGATGTCTTTCCTCAGGCACCATCCACCTCGTTTTCTGAGAGAGGGTCTCTTACTTTGCCTTGGAACTCACGGATTAGTCTAGGCTGGGTTGTCTCAGACATCCACCTGCTTCCCCTTCCTAGTGCTGGGATTCCAAGTGTGCATCGCTACACCCCGCCTTTTAACGTGGGTTCTGGAGATCGAACTCAGGTCCTCAGGCTTGTGTGACAAACACTTTACCTACTGAGCCATCTCCTGAGCCTCGTGTCAGATTCTCAGATAGACTGGGCTGACCTCAAATTCACTATGTAGCCAAGAATGACTTTGAACACTGATCCCCCTACTTCTACCTCCCAAGTGCTAGGTAGGATTCTAGGCATGCACCACCACACCCATCACAATGCATAACCTCCTTGATGGAGACACCCAGCCACGTGGGGAGTTGCAGACACAGGCTCTCCAGCCCTCCTCTGACTCAGTCTCTGCCCCTTCCATCAGGCCTTGCTTCCCAGAACCTGTTTTGCATCCATTTTAATCTTCCTGCCTCCCCGGTTCCTGGCCTGCAGGCTCTTTGCTGAGGAACCATCTGACGGTGGGGTAGAGTTCAGGGTGTCTGAGGGGTGGAGTCTAGCTAGGAAGGACACTGGGTTTATTGCTGCCATGCAGAATGAGGGGACCTCAGAGCAGTTCAGTTTTAGGGATTGAGGCTTAGAGTATAAACAGCTGTGTTTCAGGGAGGTGGGGGGTGATCTTCACTCTGATAACTTTCAGGTATTTCTGGAGACTTGGAGGTGTTACGTGGGAAGTGCCCCATTATGGGAGGTAATGATTACAGGGGGTGGTGATTACAAAGTATCATCTCAGGGCTCCTAGAGAGTTCCTCAAGCGACCGTAACCCTCTGCACATGCAGAGCCCCGCCCAGATCCCTAGCATTCAATGAAATGTATAGACAGATATTTGGACTGAGCTGTAAAAGGCACAGTGAGCCAAACCAAAATAAACCTAACGCTCAGGACTCCTCATAAGAAGTACAACAAATTTAGCGTGTGGATCTTAATTGTATGTATTTGCACTTTTAAAAACTGATAATTATTTTTGCAGCACTGGGGATTTAACCCAGGATCTTCTGTAAAATTAACCATCTCCCCAGCCCCTCACTCGGGGATTCTAGGCAAGCTCTCTCTGACTGAGCTATATCCCCAGTCTTTTTTTTAAACTCGAAAATTCTTTTTAAAATTATTTGTGTGTGTGTGTGTGTGTGTGCGTGTGTGTGTGTGTGTTGTTGTTGTTGTGGTGGTGGTGGTGGTGTGTGTGTGTGGTGTATGCATGCCATGGTGTATCTGCCATGGTGTATG